TAATTGTAAACTTCCTCCTTAGAACTTTATCAAACTTGTGATGACTTAAATATTTACATGACATTAACCCCAGTATAACCAGCCAAGATCAGAGTCCAGTTACACTAGGGACTGCACTGCTGCATCCAAGGAGTGGGCTCTGACTTAGAGAGAACACAGGCTAAAGAAAGAGTGAAAAGAAAAGAAGAAATGGTATAGGATGGGTTGAGTAGGACAGATCTCAGAATGACTGATAGCTGTTGTATGCCATCTTGGTGAGAAGTCTAGGGGATGGCAGAGAGCCAAGGAGAATGTAACCTCTCCAGTACTACCAATTGCTTAAAATATTGAGATTAAAAATACCCATATGTTCTGGGGTTGTAGTGATGATGTAGTTGTGATGTTCCAGGAAATATATTACAGCAAAGGATTTTTTGGTGATATATTTTATTGGACTAAATATATAGTTAGTCCAATAGTCGATATCACCAAAAAATCCTTGCCTCTTTCTGGGTGATTTTTCTTGGTCTTCTGGTATTTAAGGCTTAGGTTTGCATTTATGTCACTTTTCTGCACAACCAAGAGATAAGAAATTTATTTTTCTATAACGAAAGCTCAGATTTTTTTAACTCCTGGAATTGGGACTTTTAAGGAAGAACACACAGGGCTCCTCATAAAATCTTGAGTTACCTGCATTGCTGCTCATAGTCCCCTGCTGGGCCTCGCATGCAGTAAGGGAAGAGGTGTAGTATCTAGACCTCAGAGACCATGAGGTCCACAAGGAAGGAATAGGCTCTCCTGGCCTCTTCCCTAGCAGTAAAGCTTCTGCCAGTCATACTCAAATGCTAGGTACAGGCACTACACTTTTACCCAAGTAAATGTTTGGAAACTTGTCTATACTTGTGACAGAACAAAAGTTTGGCATACAAAACTGATCTATACCTATAAGAGAACACACGTTCAACACACATAAACTGATGTAAAAATGGCAGAATCTAGTCTAAGATTCCCCCCCACCCCGCACCCTCCCTCCCTGCACCACAGGGCGAATGTGTGCTCTCTTTGCTACCAATCTAAACTATGCTACTTACAGAAAACTCCATAACGTGGATGATGGATTCTGCCTTGGGCTTTTTGAATGTCTGTACCTAGCCCCAATGGCCACCTTTTTCGTATACCTGTGCATATAGGGGGGCACATGCCACCACCAGCTTCTGCAGGTGGTTGCTGCTCACCACTGCCCCCCTCACTGCCAACATGGCTAGCAGCATCTGCGGGCGGACCCTGCTCGCCACTCCCCGCCCCCCTGCTGCCAACACTGATGCTAGCAGCTGTGGGCAGTCCCTGCTTGCCACCATGGTGCCCCCAAGTCTTGGGAGGCACCAGTTGTTCATACCTGTGCAAGCAGCCTCTTTCTGAGGATTGTGCAGTCAAGAACATAATTCAACACTGCAGTACCCTAGATGTGAATATCTATCGACTTGGATATACATAGCCCTGGTAATGTTCAAGCAACCATAATGGAGTAGAAGTTTCTGTTCTCATTGAAATCGTGGGGTGAATGTGACATTGAATTCAAGGACAGTAGAAATGAGCTCAAGGTTTAATCCATCAGGAAAATGTTCTTCTTAGATTTGGGAAATACTGGGTTGACTTTGATTTCATTAGTGGGAAGCCCACACTAACATCTGACAGCAGAACTTGACCTAAGGCATTTCTCACTCTACAGTATGAGATGCTTCAAAACCATGAATGCAGTTTTGATGTACATATGTACAATAGGCCATTATTTTCAAATACAGCCTTCAAGTTTCTGTCTGCACTACTCTTTTATGTGCACATGATAGTGTGCCTATGATAAATTGTGGCATAGAATCTACATCTGTGAAGATGACGCTTTCACTGAAAATTGTTTGGTTAATAGTCATATTTGGACATAAGTTGTAATTTGGGGAAGCTAGGCAGGTGGTAATATTAGTAGCCAAGCTGAGATCCCATTTAAAAATGCAGTCCATAGGCAAAGTGAAACGTTATTAGCTTAACATCCAGTTTCCTGGAATATAATATCACATTTGAGACTTTTAAAAGCCTTGACATGCTATGTCTCTGTCTCCTTACGTAACGTGCAGAAGAACATCAGACGTGGTTATCAACTGGAAACAATTACCCTTAATAATAAATAGCTCTTCAAGTTGTGTTCCATATGCAAACAGATACAGGGGTTTCATTTTCCCCTTTCTTCTCAAATAAATGTCAATATGTTGGTAAATTATAGATTGATATTATTTAGGTATTTATTGTATAATTGTCAGAGCGTTATAATTGCCCAAATTGATAACATGGGTTTTATGCTGAGAATCTTAGATTCTTTTAAATCACTGTTACTTTATTCTGTTTTATTCATAATCTGACTCTAGGCTGTTTTACTTGGAACATATGTTACTCAGAGGTGCTTTAAGGCAGTAGCTCCTAACCTCTGTATTCATCATTCTAATGGTGCTCTGAGACCCTCCTCTGATTTTAGGCCTAATTCTGCAAAGGATTCAATATGTGCAGACCCTACTCTGACTGGCGGTCTCATTAACCTCAAAGGGACCTCAAAGGGGTGTCTGTTGGTGGCCTTGTGAGCTGCTACTGAATCTTACCTGCTATTTATTTTGGTTCAGTTCATCCCTGTGAGTGCCAGCCCAAGTTCTGCATACCACTTACACTCATCTGACCATTTTCACAAAGGTGAATTTCCATACCATCTAAGGGATGCTGACCGTGAGATGGCCTTACCAAATTCTAATCCACAATTTTCCTCCATTTCAGCAGAGGACACTAGTTCCTCCATTTCTACAGGGTAAGAGGCAAGATTTGCCCTTGAGTAAGCTCAGAGCTAATGGAGTGCAGTGAATTAATAGAATGAAGGTCTTTGCTTGATTCTATTTATCCCAGGATGCAAACTGCAGTTAAGGTCAAAGTGACCATCTGCTCACTGGAAGAGGTTCTGTGTAAAGAATTTATGAGGTTGAGGAGGGCTCCACTGTGAAACGGGAGAGGCACAAGTAAAGGAATTGCTTCCTCTGTCTACTGTATGCACATGGTCTTGCTTAGTCAGGATTCCCTTTCGGTATGTAAAGGTTCATGAGTCTCTTAGGAGAATTATTATCTTGTGTGTCCAATTTAAATTATCTTGTGTGTCTAATTATTATCTTGTGTGTCCCAGGGCAAAGAAACCTGGAAATTCATGTCTTCCTTTTGAAAGAATATAAATGGTGGCCTAAATCACACATTAGTGGGTGCATCTACATGTGCATTAATGCGCTTTTCCTAATGCGCATTAAATTTAGTACCTCCAGTGTGAGGTAATAAATAAATGTGCATTAGGTTGCCCTAATGTTCAGTACTGAAAGCGCATGTTTCTTAAGTAATGCTTAATGTACAGTAGCCTATATTACTGCACATTAGTGTAATTGCATGTTTAATGCGATGCTCTAATGTGCAGTAAAATAGGCTAATGCACATTAAAGCTCACGTGTAGATGTGCCCAGTGTTAATAGTGGTGCACTCACTGGGTGCATCTACATGAGACATCTACTGTGGAGTAGACTCATTAGCTTCATAGTAAATGTCTCAGCATCTACATAAGCAGGGCTATTAGGCTGGAGTAAACTAATAAGCTCTGCAGCAGGGTGGTACTTATATTTATAAGTACTACCCTACTGTGGAGTTCTTTACTCTGCAGCAGCTCCTGTATAGACACTGCCCTGGCTGGCTGGGCATGAGGGTGGTTCAGTGCGGGGGATGCCTGCTGCCTAGCCCTGCACTGAAGCACCCTTGTGCTTCAGCTAGCCCCTCTGCGACACCTTGAACCAGGTTGCTGGAGCCCCAAGCTGGCAGGCTGACCGCCTGAGCCCCTTGCCAGCCAGGGCTGCTCTGACCTGGCTCAACATGATGTGGTCCCAGGCACTCGTGTAAACATGGTGCCAGCTCGCAATAAGCACTGGAGTTTATTGCATCTTATTAATATGCATGTGTAGACATGCCCACTGAGTGATTGCGGGGGGTGGGGCAGCTGCTGGGAAGGAACAAGACATATTCCTCCACTCTCTACCCTCCAGCTTATTTAACGTGTTACAACTCTGGTGCAATTAAGTACAAATAACTTGGGCTCTTAAGAGGCATAAGAGTGAGATGAAAATGGAACAGCTAGTAGGAAGTGATATAAAGGAATACACATGCCTTTGAATTTAAGATGCACACATATTTTCTGACTCTAAAGGAAAATAAGCAAATAAAGACATGTTTACCAGGGTGTATGGAAGAGCTTTTAACCATTTTTGGCACACATTTAAAATGCAGGCCATTTTGAGAAGAAAATATTTTATTCAGTGTGTATTTCCAATGTAAAGAGGTATGGTAAAATAAAGTACTGGCCTCTGTTTTACCTTAGATCTTATTTCTCCATCTAGTTGTTTGCTTTTCTTGCTAAACACCACATTGGTTTGACGTTTTGCCAGGAAAATTCACACCAGTGTTTGAACTATAGACCCTCTGAATTGTACACCAGTGTTTGAACTATAGACCCTCTGAATTTGGTCCCTGCTCATTTTCACTGGTTTTTACTTCATAACATAAAGTACATATGTTACCTTGTAACGTAACCTACAGCTTCATGTTGGACTCAAATATATTGAAGATGAAATTGGCTAGAGGACTGGATCTGTGGCTGGTCCCTTTGCTTTCAGGGTGCACCATTTGAGGATGAGATTTATAGACAGATAGATATTTAAAGGACAAGGCACATTCTTTAATAACAAAACCCAACTTCTTATCTTATAGATAGGCAGCGTGAGTGATGGCCATAATTTGAGGGATCAGACATGCTTCAAGACTTGCCATGAAAAAAGTGGTCTAGAAAAGACAGTTGGTGGGTTAAAGGTTGTGAATGAACCTATAAGCTTGGTTTTCACATTTTTAGCTCTCCCTCTAGTGGGTGGTTATGTAACAGACACACCATATGCTTATTTTTATAGGTTTGTGGGGAGAAACAGCGCTTTGAGAAGCTGATGGAACATTTCCGAAATGAAGACAACAATATAGACTTCATGGTAAGACTTCATGCAACTTCGGGTAATACATTTCAATTCCCCATTGTCTTTTCTTATTTCCGTATATTAATTTGGAGCTTGTGTACCTTCAACCTTCTGTCATCTTACACTCAGTCTAAAATGATCAGACCATTATAGATTTTTATATTCATTATTTAATTTGCACATGCTTCATATTGATCTTTGAGGAAGTTATTGTTAGCTATTGTAATTACACCTGGCATAATCCATTCAGTAGAATATCAAACTGGAACCTGAAAACTAGCATTCTTACCCCAGCTAGACATGCTGCAAGACTCTCTATTCCTCTTTTCCTGTCGTTCCTTTGTCTGTCTAGCTATTTAGAGTATAAGATCTGCCTCTGAATGTGTACATGTACAGCTTTCAAACAGACTGGGACCTTGATCTCAGCTGAGGCCTTTAACTGTTACTGTAATATAAATGATAGTAAAGCTGACAGTCAATAAGAGAGGCCACCTACATATTAGAAAGGAAGTAGGCTTCGTTTAATGGCCATTTTAATTGTAAACTTTTTGCTTTCTGTACAACTGAATTTCTGTATCTGGCCACCAGATACATTGCAAATATAGCTCTTGGTTATTAACTATTTGAGCATTTCCGATCAAGTGAAAGGTTCTTGTAAGCATGGTGTAGTAATATAATTATCATGGTATTTGATCCTGGAAGGGCAGGATTGGAGAGCTTGTTTTATAGCATTGTGTACTGTCACTGGGTAGGAGGACTGATAATATCTGAAATGACAAGTTGTGTAGTGCCAAAGTCCTTAAACAACCTAGACAGGGAAGTGTGAGCTAACATCATCACAAAAGTGTCTGTCTTAATCTATAGATAAATATAACACTACTTTTTACCACAGCTGGTTCCTCAATTTGTTTGTACAATTCCACTTCCCCTGGAACAGTAGAGAAAATAGAAACATAGAGGAAGAGCGCATACATACCAAACCCCAGTTCCCATAATGGAAACTTATGAAACCAATGAATCATGATGCTAGAATGAGTGTAAATATTGAAAAAAAAGAACTAATTGTGAACTGAGCTTTAAAATGCATCTTTAAATATACTTAAGGTGAATTTTAGTTAAAGGTTCTCGCTTGAAAGTCCTAGAAACTGAAGTCCTCTCTTTCTAGGACAGATGCACCTCAGGCACTGTTACTATGTTTACACAAAAAAAGACAAGGTTTCCTCCCTCCCACCCCCAATCAGCATGGGGGGAAAAGCCCCTTGCTTTACATTTGCATACAAGGAAACTTTACTAAATACATTGCCTATATTAAGCTGCTGCCAAAAGTGGCATGTGCTCAGTAAAACCATCTATAAAATTGATTAAAGGCAGCCAACATCCGACATGACTATAAAATACATGGTCCATTTGGCAAATATACTGATTGGACCCTACAACAAGTATAGGTTACTGTAGCCCATCTGAGTAAGATAACACCCATTGCAAGCAGTCCCCCTCAACACCGACTTTTTTCAAGTCATGGTGTGCCATTACATTGAATATATTTAGGCTTCCTCTTCACTCCCACAGCTGAGTTGCACTTTTCTTTCCCATTTCCAATGATTCCTGTTTCTTCACCAGCCTCAAATGCCTAGCAAACATCATGAAACAGGGCCCCAAAAGGTTCACTCAGAATCCCTTTGTTGCCTCTTTCTCAGCCTGTCCCTTATGCTTAGGGTTGTCCTGCCCTCCAAGAGGTGGAGCTGGACCAGGTTGCCTGGTGCCTCACCTGCATACAAATTTTTGGAGGATCCCAGGACTTGTGACAAGAACACTGGATTCCAGTCGAGAAGTGGGGGGCGCTAATTACCATGTGATCCTTTGCAGGACCGGGTATCTGGACTTTGCACACCCCTAGTAAAAGGATGGTTCAGTCTCCATAACTAGTCAAGCTGTAGCTTTTTGCTGCATCTTCCAGTGGTGCCTGTGTGTATTTGCTTGTTGGGTTTTATGTTGTAGACTTTTTCCTACTAGGAATTTGGTTAAGACTTTAGATATCATAGATATCATTCCCAGAAAAATGACTTTCAGGTGCTACAGAGTTGGGTCAGACTCCCCATGATTTGGAGGTAAAACTGTAACTAATAAAATTACCATTTTGGCTTGTGCAGTAAATAAGCAATTTTTTCTTGTTTAAATAAAAGCTTACAGTTGGGTATAATATCTGTAGAAATTATAATAGGGTTAAGGAGCTGTCTGTAGTTATAATTGTTGTTCTTTACAGCTGGTTTTGAAATAGAGCCTGGAACCCAGTGTGTGATCTTTGTGCTTAAATATTCTCTAAGTTTTACATAAGAAAGGTTTGTCTAATGGACATATCAGACACAAAAGATCACGTCCTTACCCATTCTTTATCACTTACTGTCCCTTTAACCACTCCAGTAACTGCCTACATGAAGAGTTAATAGCACTTAGTGCTTTTTTATCATATTCCAGAAGCCATTTGTAAATAAGACAACAGTATGTGGTTAGCCAGCTCTCCACAGCCAGTCAGGAATTGCTCACACTTATCACAGGACTGTTCTTTATTTACATATATTAGACTGCATACTCTAAGGATAGGGAGCAGGGATAGTTCTTATCTAGTTCTCAACAAGCATGTTATTGTCTTATTCCTGCTCACTTATTGCTCCCCCATTCTGATCTGCTTGGTGAATGTTGGATCAGTTGCCTTTCTGGCAATTCTCATTTCCCTTTTCTCTGAACTCTTTTAGGGACTCTCCTAGTTCAGGGTTCTCATAGTGAGGAAGCCCAAGTAGCAAGAAGCATTGTACTGTTAAATGCTTCCTAACAGAAAAATACCACAGATTCTTCCTGCATTTATTTCCACCCTCCTTTGCAGAGTGGATTCCCTTTAGAATTAGGAGCCAGGAAGTCTTAGGGCCTTGTTGTACATTACAATTAGGATGTGTTAACTGTCTTGGACGGCCAGAGCCAACTCGAGTTGCGTTAGAAATTGGTCGTACGTTAGGGCGGGCTGGTGAATGGAGAGGCAGACAACTTACTGGTTGTAAAAAACTTTACTCACGCCGCTTGCAATCATGACGCAGGTGGTCCGGTCGTCTGAACAACCACACGAGTTGTTCCAGCTGGCGGGGCCCAAGCCAGTTAATCCGTCTGCAATTCGAAGCAGGCGGGGAAAGGAGTACGTCGGGGTTGCGCTCGGTGACGGGAAGAAAGATCGATAGGTGATCAGTCTATCGATCGGCAGCCACAAGTCAGAAAACTTCAGAAGCACTCTGCCGCGTGCTCAAAGCTCTTCGACTTGGGCGGAAGTTGCGCGGAATTTTAAACGGCCAGCGAGCCAATTACTAGCCGCCACGTGTGAATAATTTAGCACTGGCCAATAGCGGGGCACAAATTTACATTCGAATAGCGGGAACTCTTTGCACCGTGCATTTCTGTGCTGCAAAGAAGAAATGCATCCTGCATAGGAGACTGCAAATTGTCGGGAACTCTTTCCTATACGCAGGTTCTCAATTGCAGCAGAACACTCTGCCGTGCAAAGGAGCTCTCATGTGGCCAGGAAATTCCATAGTGCCAAGGCACCAAAAATCACTGGGTCGTGACATTAACTACACTTAAAACGCATGCAGGCAATAACCCACGTGGTAAGTGCCACCGTATAATAGCAAAGTTAGTATTCTTAGCAATAGGAGTACACATGGTAGTAAGTAATACATTTTCAGCTATCGTGGGACTACTCTACAGAGATAACATGATAATGACAAATGTGGCAGTCCCAGCCACAGCACAACACTGGTGTTGGTACAAAACTCTAGTGTAGTACAGGGGCTGGGACTGACAAACAGCTGTTTGTCAACCACGTAGCTGGCTCCAGCCCTGTCCAGATCATAGTAAGCCCTACTGTTCAGTCACTTGGACCTAGTTCTAGCTCGTAGTAATGCTTACTATGATCTAAATAATACACTTGTTAACTGCCTTATGCTATAAGACCCTTTGTAACATAGCTCTAAGAGATGTCCCTTTAATAGCAAGTGTGTTTGTTTTGGGCCTGGGAGCTGGTTTCAAGGTTAGACTACATGACTCTGGCTGCAGATCCCTGCTTGGAGAGCCGTATGATTCTTAGAGTCATATCTTTGATTATGTTCCTCTAGTAAATCCTTTCATCTTGTGTGTATGTGTTTGCAGGATCACAGTCTGAGAAAAGAGTATATAATTTGGCCCTGATACTGCAAGACTCATTAAATCAAAGTGAGAGAGTGGAACAGAGGTTCTTATACAATGAAAGAATTTGGCCCTGCACTGAACTGTCCTTCAGGGTCACCTGCAGTGTTTGGCAGTATAAGGCTGTGTAACCATCCAGGGTCACATAGGCTACTGTCCCCTGACAGTCAATCCTGGCTTGTTGGCCCTCCCCTTGTTCCAAAGTGCCTATCCATCTCTCACCTGCCACAACTTGATGGTACTGAAATAAGGGAATAGGCCTTCAGTCCTGTAGGACAGTGCTTCTCAAACGATCTGATGTGGTGGACCGGCAATTTTTTTCCAGTGCGCCAGGGACCGGTGCTCGGTTCAGCCAGTGGCAGCAACTGCGTGTAAGGGCGCTACACAAATGCGCAACCGACTGTTTCTTTCTCTTTCCTCACCTCCCACGACATGACGTCACCTGGAGTGTTGGAATGTACGAACTGTGGCACTATGACATATCAATGTTATGCTTCTGAAAATATATTTCTTTCTTTCCTGGCAACTCGCTGCGGACCGGTGACTGGTGGCTCACGGACCGGCACTTTGAGAAGCACTGCTGTAGGAGGTGTTAGGAGACTAGAGGCAGCTTAAGTGCCTCTGTAAATGCACAGCTCTGGGTCATTTTTGCCCAGTCCCCTATGGTCCCACAGGCTATCTGGCCCCATTCAGCAGTTCAGTGGGGTGAATTCTCCCCAGAATAACTGTCCTGGTTAGCTTGACATTGCATCTCCCTTTCGCCTTTTAGAATTCCTGCCATGTCCCACTCCTATAATCAGTCCTGGTAGGCTCCGCTGCCTGCATACAGTCCAGAAAGTGTGCTTTTTCCCTTTCTCCTCTCTGGCTTCCACCCCAAACTGCTGTCTTTCCCTCCCACAGCCTTTCTGGGCCTATTTGCAGTTTCTAGTTCCTAGTACTGCTTCTATCAGTTCCCTGCTTCTGCCTTTAACTGTGCATGGGGTCAGACTGTGACCCCCTCTGATTCTGGAGCTGGGTTTATATCCCCAAAGCCCACTTCTTCTGGCCTCATAGCAGTTCACCAAAGGCACAGTTCCCATTGCTTTACT